TTAGCATTCAGTTCTATACTGCATTTTTAATAAAAATAATGCATTTATTGTCATCTAAAAGAAAGGGTACATTAAAAACACAAACAAAACCAATAGTTAGAAAAATCATAATGAAAGTGAAAGTGAAAGTATAATATAATGGAAACTAATACATTTCATTATTATAATGTTTTCCACGACGGTGACATTTAAAATACCGAAAGTGAAATATGTCATTGTTAATAATTAGATCAACTGAGATGTTGATCTTTGGCACATGACAAAATGTTAAGGTCATTGCTGTCCACAAAGGTTGTTTGTGTATCCGATGCTGTTATCTCCGTCGGGAACAGTGAAAGATTGTCACCGTTCAGACGCGTTCTATAACAAATATAATCAGTCTGGTTAGATGTGACTCCTCTAATATGAAAAAAGTCAGTGTGAAACAACCAAGATTAGGACAGTAAGCTGAACAAATCAGCGAGTAAAAATTGATAATTCCTCATCTGGAAAATATCCACCTAAAACAAATATACAGTGAGAGCACCGTGCCAGATTTTCGCCTCGCGAGGTCTTACTATTAAGCTTTCTGTAGCAAGTAGATTTTTACAGGGCAGAGCTGATAGTTCCACGTCCGTTTGGCTTTGAATTCGGAGTTGTCTTTCTCCTGGACTGTTAGCCAAAGCAAGATGGCCCTTCTATTAGCCCGTAACTGGAGCCAGAAGAAATGGATTTAATACCTTTTGTAAGGGTATTTGTACGAAAGCGGACGCAATGGCTGTGCCTGGAATTTGGTCTCAACATATCAATCGCAATTTTGGCGCCGATAACCGCTACCCTACGCGCACATCAATATTTTCGTTTCTTACAATACTAGTGAAAATGCATTGTTTAGTCTTAAAGTCGTCACAAATTTAAAACGGTTTTGACTGACTGATTCGTTTTCTACGGCTTATCAACCTCTTTGCAGGTTATTTAAAGCCAGAAAATATTTTTAGATTGTAAGAATTTTTTTAGATAATAGTGATTTTACTGGAACAAGTCTTACTAATTAACCCATAGCTGGGGGAGAGAAGATGTACATTCATACATTTTCCAAGGTTATTTGTGCGTAAGTGGATATACCAAACGGAATTCGTACTCTGCTCTCCGATTAACAATACTGAGCCGTTATTTATTACAGCTCTCGCTCATCGAAGCGGTCATCCATTTAGGTACTGATCAGGCTTGACGCTGCTTATCTTCTGTGATCGTACAAGAACAGGTTTTTCAACGAGATGTGGCTGTAAGCCAAATGTAAAATGGATTTATGAATATGAATTTGTGAAACAAAACACTGCCCGTTCAGGTAGTGTAACGACTATCGGAGCGGAAATTAGAATTAGCGCTTTGTGTCCAAATCTTACATTATTAGCGATTGAAATTTATATGGGATGTCAGTGTATAGAATAGATACAAATAATATTACTCAGATAAAGCTAGTACTGATTTTGAACTGCTATTCGACTGATTATTAATCATATTATGTTCCTATCGATCATCCGTATCCGCTAACGCTAATCAATATTATTACAAACTGTTGTCTTTTAACAGACGACGGAAAAGAGTGACAAGTAAATTTGCGTATTTGAATTACGAAAGAAGCCTTACAAAAGCTAAAAAAAAGTATTAAGAAACCAGAAAATTTCGTTAGTGTTATGGCAATTTACCCACGCATGCATGGACTCTTCCAGTTATAAATAGGAGCAGGTATTACCTTTTAGGGAGGGAAGATCAAGCAGTCAGACCGAATATTCTTGCTGTAACACTCTCGTTTGTATTACTGTTTCTGTTAATATATTTGTTTAACTCAATTCTTCTCTTTGTGTCTTTATTTCTGGCCCAAACAAGACCACAGCAGTTAGAAACAAAGAAAAGATTGCTGAAATGCTATGTGATATTATTTCGTCTGTATGACAATAAATGGTGACAATTTCTGTTCTGGGAAAGAGCAGACTTGCGTCAACAGAGATATGGTTCTAACAAAGGATGTTGATAATACTATGATCAGAACTCGTGAGCAAGGGGGAAGTTTTAAGGAAAAATTAAATCAAAAAGGGTATTTCTGCTTGAATCAGAAAGAAACGGCAGCGATTTCAGGAACATATAATGAGGAAAGACGGCTTGGAGAATTTAACACTCACGGGGCATACTGAAGGCAATGTGACAGAGCGAATAACCGACATAATGAGTTTGTATAAATGGATGGCAGACCAGGGGTAGAGGGATATTGCTAAGAGTTAAAAAATAGATAAAAAGTCGTGGAGCCACGATTGTTCACGTCTTGCAGAGACACGGCATATACCAGAAGACGAAGGAGTACTTAACATTTCACTGATAAATAACATCTTATCTGAATCGATAGTGTCAAAGCAGACTTGTTTCTCTACAGCAATGCCATTGCTTTAATAATTTTTATTACAAGGAAAACTTTGCTGTCAGTCAGTTCATATATTTGTGTGTTTGGCTACAATTACTTGATGAAGCATATTCAAAAAAAAAAAGGTAAAAACAACGACCTATAAGTAAGAGATTAGAAGAAACTACTTTCTAATGCGAAAAGGCGTGGGTAGTACAAAACTTGACGTTCTAGAGCCGTGCGGTCGTAAGCGGAGGAACGCTTTAGTAACGTCCATAAAAGTCTTCCGAGCATCGGAGATTGTCACTTGGCAGCGACAAAAGAAAAAAAAAAGCATTCATTAAATGACACTTTGCAAATAAAGATATAAACATCCAAATGTGAATTTCGAGAGAGATCTGTTTAATATTTAGAACAGATTAAGGTGACAAGCAGAAGACATCTGCTTTGTAGTCGTCTCTTGCAAAAAAATAACTCGTTTACCGACCAATCAAAATTAAAGAATCAACAGACGCCAACGACATTATATATATATATATATATATATATATAATATATATATATATATATATATATAAAATTTTCAAATAAAAACCTATACATACATATATATATATATAAATATATATATATATATATATATATATAATATATATATATAATGTTGTATTTATTTAAAAACAGTAGAAATATATATGTTCGTGTCTATATAATCTATTGTGAAAGGTAAACACACACATACACACACATTTACATACTTCATATATATATATATATATATATATATATATATATATATATAAATATAAAAAAAATGTGTCTGTATATATATATATGTGTGTGTGTGTGTGTGTGTGTGTGTGTGTGTGTGTGTGTGAATTAACAGTGGAAACTCAATTCTTACTCTATCAAACCGGACTTGGACAGTATCTGTCCGACTGTGTGCTTATTTGTTTTATTTACATCTGAATTAAAGCCATTTAGTTATTGTAGGATTTTAAATCAGGGATATTTAATAAAACTTTCCACACTTCAAACACGCAACATATATATATATATTATATAAAATGGTATTCTGTTTCAGGCACATTTGTGTTTGTTCAACACCCACAGAACCAACCTGTGGTTTATACGCAACTATAGTTTTACGTGTTATCTAGAATGATCAACAATCCGAACATTTCGGTCATGATGACTTGTGATAGCAAAACAAGGTTCTTTGGTTTTCCATTTCAAAAGGTGCCACCCTGGGATCGTCCCCGCTCCAGACGATATATATAGGTGTAGCAATTACTTTAAACACACCCCACACACACACACACAAAAAAACCCATATATATATATATATATATATATATGGTTTATATATATGTACGTTATCGATAATAATTTAAAGTAGCATTTGTGTGATAACTATCGTTGAACGTAACTACGCATCTGTACCTTGACGTAAACACACACACAGACATATCTATCTACCTATCTATATATATATATATATAACATATATATATAATCTTTTTGTGTATGACGTTTGAACGAATATCAATTCAATGAAAAAGACGTAAATTAAAAAAAGTTTGAAAAGAATAGGACAGGAGAGAAGTATCAGGAAAATGTAAATATAGAACCAATGAAGAAACCTAATTTGGAAAATGAAAAAAAATGTAAAAATTATCAAAGCAGAATCCCTCTACCTGCGATGAAGAAGAAGACTAGAAGAAGAATAAAAGATGAAAAAGAAGTCAGCGGAAGAATATCTGAGAAAAGAAGAAAAAGTTGTAAAATGGAAGAAAAAAGAAGAAAGGAAAAAAAAAAAAAATGAATAATCAGGAAAAGTAAGGATCATTGTGAAAAAGCCCTAAAGACGGAGGAGAAAGTAATGAGTTTTCTTCTTAAAAGAAGATAGAACCAATAAAGAAGGAACAAAAAGAAGAAGGAGGAGGGATCTGAAAGGATAACAAAAGAGGGTAAATATATTTTCAAATCCCCAACTTAACAGTTCAATTCTTGGACAAACCGGTTATTTGTTGCTTTTTTCTTCATTTTTTAAAATCTCTTGGTTTTTTCACGATATATCCTGCAGGTTCTTTGCCATCAAACTGAGATTTCTTTCCAAGTCTTCATGGAATACTAATATTTGAAAGTAATGGTTTTCTCCTGACGTTATGGAAATGCTCAGACCTATAAAATTTCATTTGGCACGTGAATTATCGAAGTTTTGAAATTTTGTTGGCAAATGGGATTTTAATTTGAAAAATTTCTTTTTACCTGCGATTTTACCAGATAAAAAGGACTTTGACTGATCACAGTCCTCAAAGAGAATAATCATCACATGCTTTGAACTGCCTTGTATTTTCTTCTTTAGCATCATTTGTCACAACTCAAGTAGGTTATTTGTTATTTCTTCCTGTACATCGTATATCCTGCTTCAAACTACTTTTTTCCTTTAGTTTCATCGCACTTTTTGATTGTTGGCAGGATTTTCCTTGAATTTCTTTTCTATTTTCCTCAGGACTTTCTTATTTGTCACATTCGGATGCATCATTTGTCACTAAGTACATTTCTTACACTTTGTTTGTTTTGCCCTATGTTCGGATGTTGAAGTTTCACATGTTGCCCTATGTTGTTATACTACTTAGAGAGATATGACGGCATCTGCTTAATTTTTGACGGCCCAGTACGTAACTCGTAATTTAGGGCTGTGTCTTTTACTGACAAACTTGCTCGACTATCCTAAGTAGTTCGTTATAAGCATTTCGTGACTAACCTGATTGAATATTTCTTTTGTTGAAATAAAGTCATCTTTTCCTTAATTTATTATCAGTTTCCTAAATTCAGAAACAGTAAGCTATTTAATTTTAACTAAAAGTCAGTTGCCTTATTTGGGAACTATTATTATTATTATTATTATTTCCTTTGATTTCAGGTGGATACTCACTTCTTTCCGGGTCCCAATCAGTGACCTAAGGTCAGAAATAGCGTCATGACATTTTCCACTGAGCCTTCTTGAGGAAAATAACCTAAGAACACACATATTTTACATTAGTGGACTGTACTTGTGAGTACAATATTTTCTGTTTCTTTAAGGCTGGTGTACCAGGAATCCCTTCAATGTATCTATCGGAACATTTTCCAACCAGTCCGAAGGCTCCAACTTCAATTGGAATTGTTCATATGCTCATTTTTTGAGATTTTGATTTGAAGATCTTTGTATATTGATAGTTTCTTGAAAATCTTCAAAGATACCAGTGATTGCCATGTCAATAGAAGGAACATTTTGTTTTCGTGGTTTCTGATCATGATGTCTGTGTGGATTGTAAAGTCCCATAAAATGATTATAGGTCATATCTATATAACCGGGTTTTGGTGTTCATACCAATTTCTTGCAGTTTCCTTTCTGTATTGTTTCCTGCATTTTCGGCTAACACAATTTTTCATTATGTGTGCTTGGTAATTTTTAGTAAGCAAGCATTGATCTTGTGCAGCAAGAAGAAAACCTTCAGTTTCAGCTTTTAACATTGCATTACGTAGCCACTGATACATTTGTTTACATTAGTTTTTTTGGTACGGGCAGAATATTGAAGAGACTTATCTTGCCATTTTTTTCTCTATCTGGTACATTGCATTTACTTTTGCTTTATTTTTTAAGGTTTTTGCTGCTGCAGTAGATGTATTATGTTTTACTAGCATGTCTTCACTCATTTGAAATTCCATTTTGAAATTGTTGGCTTCCTTTATTACTCAATACAGTTTCTTATTTTTTTCAGATCATCATCCAGTCTTTGTTGTAGTTTTGAAAGACAGTTCCTTTTTTGACATTTCTACTTCAAGATCCTGGCTGTAGAAAACGAATCAATCAAGGAACAATAAAACAATAATAACAGAAGCCACATCAAAATTAAGTCTAAGGTCAACCATTGTCTATCCTACATATCTCTGAGTAGTTTCACAGTGGAGGCTTGTATTTAACTGTCGGTCCTAAAATAGGTTCGACGTACAAAACGTTAGGAACTTGATATAATAGTTAATGACGCAGCAATCTAGTTGTGGTGGCTGATACTTTAATATCCGACTAACGGTCGCCCGGCATCGACTGACTCACCAACTCACCGAGCCACTTAGTGAGTGCTACTATTTCTACTTATTATATGTGGGAGAGTCTATTAACAATAGAATCGGTGTGTTCCAGTATAACATCCTCATAATATACATTTTTCGCATTCTCCCTGTACGCTCTTAAAACAACCCTATACAGTACCCCTCTACCTTGAGTGGTTCTTGGATTCTGTATTGAGTGATATCTGCTTATTATTATTATTATTATTATTTTCTTTTATTTTTCAAAAACATACCGACTTTAGTGGGTAGACGTGTTTGAGTAAAGATACCTTTTTCTTTTCAAACTGTAAAATTAACGTCTCCTGAAGATTATCCTCGATCTTGACGACCAAGTTTGGTCAGGATTGAATTTCTGCAAACCGTAGCTGAGAAAAAATCCTAAGCAACTCGCCCAGGAATTACCAGAAGAATTAAATACAAGTCACACTAAAAAAAAAAAAAAAAAAAAATCATGCAGTTGGAAAAGTGTTTCAATTTGGTTAATGCGTCCCTCATCATTTGACTCCTTCTCAGCGTGATCAAAGAACTGATCTATACACGTCATTGAAGGCTAGACTTTGCTAACGAACCTTTCCTGAGTAGGATCATCATCAATGATAAAAGAGGGTCCTCTATAATATTATCTACATCGCTTAATAGTAAATGTCTTTTGCTATTGTATAAACATATTTTACTCGTAGAGAAAATAATGACATTAACAAGACGTCGACTTTCCATAGTAGGTTAGGAAGGAAAACGCCATTAGTAATGGAATAAGGAAAACCTATTTTTCGGAAAAAAAAACTTTAAGAATTTTTTTTTATGTTATAGTAACCCACCTACAGTAGAATGAACTCTTCCTCCTTTCATAAATACTAACGTGACTTCCGGTGTGACGCAGTGTAACCTGACCGTTCGGACGGATATTTCTATCTGCTTATTACTAACACACTTACTTTGTATATATCTGTTATTTCAATGCACTTGCTCAACCTACCTTCGTCTTCCGTGTCTTTCTTTTCTTTCCCCTAAACAGCCCACATCATTTTATAAATTTCAAACGACAGTAACGTTAAATCTTCCGTCATGAACGTTGAATGTTTCCGTGTAAGGAACCGTACACGCAAGCCATCTGTCTTCTGGTGGCAACCACCGGTAGGCCACTGGCGGGCTTCTGTCGGTCCACTAGTGTTAACATTGCTGAGACGAACACGCCGGCGGCCCGACTACTGGCCAACATCGGTAAACGCTAGTGGCATACCACTCAGTGGCGGATTGGTGGCTTGCGTGTAGAGAAACGGCTAATCTCACCATTAACATTATATCGAACGAGAAATTAGATGGCAAAAAAGATTCGAAAATGGTATTTGTCGACATTCTACGTTCTGGCTTTTACTGGGTCTGAAACGCTCACCTCTAATATAGGGTGTGGTTATTAATTGATGGTAATTCTTCCGATGAGTTTTTTTCTTTGCCACCGAGGCTTTATGAAGTGGTAATATATTTTCACGTCTTTCTATATTCTAAATGAATAGATGTAACCGCAAGTTCTATGCTAACAGTTTCTTCTTTCGCACTTTTTTTGTTTTAATGCAATGTCGATCATTATCGTCTGTCTCTTTAAATCCTGTTACTGTTAAATCCTTTTAATGTTCTCTGTCCTTAATATTATTTCTTTTCATTTTCTCTCACACTCAGTACCCCCCACTTGAGTCATAGTGGCTTTATTGCCTTGTTTGGGGTGAAATGATTAAAAAAATTCTTTATTAATTTGCTTATTTATTTATTTTTTTTATTATCAACCATTTGTATGTTATTTAAAGGCGAAACATTTTAGATTGTAAAAAAATAATTATTTTCTGCGAGTGAATATTGCAACAACTTTTTTTTTTAACCTTTTGAGCTCTGCATTCCTGAACAATTTCAACCCTTCTGCCTGAGCACCTGAGTCAAAATTCGCAAATAATTGGTATGTAATGTTTTACGGTAGATATAAAAAAAAAAGTTACAAGTGTTTAGCCACCGTTCAACCGGTAGCTGGGCATTAATCATTTTGTCTACCACCGTTCAACTGTTGGCTGGGCATTACGTCATTTTTCTCTACCACTGTTCAACCGGTGGCTGGGCATTACGTCATTTTTCTCTACCACTGTTCAACCGGTGGCTGGGCATTAAATCATTTTTCTCTACCACCGTTCAACCGGTGGCTGGGCATTACGCCATTTTTCTCTACCACCGTTCAACCGGTGGCTGGGCATTACGTCATTTTTCTCTACCACCGTTCAACCGGTGGCTGGGCATTACGTCATTTTTCTCTACCACCGTTCAACCGGTGGCTGGTCATTACGTCATTTTTCTCTACCACCGGTAAAGCGGTGGTGAGGGCTCAACGCGTTAAACAATAACAAGGACTTTACCAGATACTCAACCTAATATTTAACCATCTTACTACTTTCTATCGAAAGGCTCTGTCTATCATACGCCATCAATTTCCCTCTCTCTGTTTCACCTTCTTACTCCTTTCTTTTATTTCCTTCTCTTTCTATCTTTCGACTTCTTTCTCTCTTTCTCTATCCCCTCTTCCATTCGGCTTATCCCTCTCATTCGCTTTATTACTTTTTCACTCTCTCTTTAGTCATGTCACTTTCTCCCTGGTTTCTCTCTCATACTTTCTCTTTCTATAGTCATATTTTATTTTCTCTCTCTTACTCTCACCATTATTCCTATCCCCCTCCTTCGCTTTCTTCTTCTTCACCCTCTCTCTTTCTCGTTCTATTTCTGGCATTTTCTCTGTTATCCTGCCTTTCAGCCTCTTGTCCTCTCTCTCTCTAACATTCCCACTCTCTAACTTTGTCTATCTCTAGACATCGCTTTTTTCTCTCATAGTCTTCCTATTTCACACTCTTCAACCCACCATCACTCTTTCGCTATCTCTCTCTCTCTCTCTCTTACTCTCAACCTCACCTTCTCTCTTTCTATCTCTGTTGCTGCTCTCTCACTTTTGCTATCTCTCTCTAGCCGTTATCTTCTCCCACTCTCACCATATATCTATCTATCTATCTATCTATCTATCTATCTATATATATATATATATATATATATATATATATATATCATTCAACACTGTGTCTTTCTAGCGTCGGCCTATTTCTTTTTTTCCTTACAGCTTTTTGCTAAGTATTCGAGGCGATTTCATGCTTCGACGAATACAGATTTCTGTGTGAAAGGTCAAGAGGGTGATCAGAAACCAAGATGGACACTTGAAAAGAGCCTCTGGTCTAAATACTTGACGGATGACAATGTGTGGTCACTGGGCGTTTGGCTTTTCTTTTTCTTTTTCTTAGCACTCGGACCGCAACGCTATATTATTATTAATTATTATTATTATTATTATTATTATTATTATTATTTCCTTTGATTTCTGCTGCATACACATATCCTTCGGGTCCCTAACCAGAGACCTAAGGTCAGAAAAGGCTTCATGACATTTTCCACTGATCATTTTATACATCCCCCCCAAAAAAAAAAAAAAAAAAAAGCTCTTCATAATGTGTGAGTTGTACTTGTGAGTACATTATTTTGTATTTCTTCAGCGCATGCGCTACTAGGATTCCCTTTAATGTCTCTATTGGAATCTTTTTCATTTAATCCCAGGGATCCAACTCTAACTGGAATTATTGATGTTCTCATATGCCACATTTTTAGATTTCCATTTCAAGATCCTTTTATTTTGATAGTTATTTGAAGGTCTGTGATATCTACTCATTATTATTATTATTATTATTATTATTAGTTGTAGTAGTAGTATTAACAAAGTTACAGTAGCATTCTAACTATTAGTATTTGTAGTACGAGCGTAGTTTTGAGATTATAGTAGTAGTTTTAGTAGTAATGAGCACAGAGAATGTTTAGAACGTCTTCTTTCCCATCCTAAGATCCGGGTTCGAATCTGGCAATAGTCAATTTGTCAATGTAGGATTTCCTGATGCTATCGATACCAACGTTCGGTACCATTGAAAAGTGCCTGAAAATCCATATCCCAGCTTCATCCAAGATTTTTTAGGGTAATTGGGAAGACGAAACTGTTTGGAATCCGTCGATGGAGTTTGCATGAAGTCACAAGTCATCGTGACCGAGGGCTTGAATGTACTGTCCCTTTTATCACAACAGATTATGCACTGTTGCCCATAAACTGTAACTAAAGTTCACCCAGTATATTTGCAGTACAAACCACAAGTAGGCACTGTGTGTGTGGACCAAACATAAATATGCCTGAACAAACGTCTACAACAGGGATTGGGTTGCCGTCCTAACAGACGGGTGTGTTCGGAAACGAGTAGCCGGGCATAAATGGACATATATTTATTTTAGATTCCATAACTTTTTAAGGGTAGCACCTTTTTCTCTAAGCAATAGAGTTACTTGGCAATACCCAGCTCTACCCGAGCAACATGTAACAGATTATAGGGGCTTACATAGTATCAGCATTATCGCGTAAAACCTAACAGGAACAATAGGGAGAGGCGTATTCATGCCTTTCCTAAGAGTATAAATCAGATTATATATTACTACCCACTGTGTTTACTTGTAGGTATGAAATGAACACAGATTACCTAGGACGGAAATTGAACTCTCATCCTTTTCTATGTTGTTAACCGTAAGGCCAACTCCACACTTCCGCATTAGTCATTAACTTTAAAAATATTATTGGTGGTATTATTGCTAAAATGAATTGTACTATTTTCTCTCTATTATTATTATTATTATTATTATTATTATTATTGAGTAAGAGAGAGAGAGAGAGAGAGAGAGAGAGAGAGAGAGAGAGAGAGATGAGCATTCCAAACAGTAACGTAATGGTAATAGCCGTTTCCCTCTAAGGAAACATTTAATATTCATTAACCGAACAGCCAGGACTGTTTTTCTTAAAACAAATTTTCAGAAAAATAGGTTTTTCAAGTCCAGAAGCTGTTATCGCTCTTCCTAGTATTGATGGGGGTCTGCCTCCTAACCTTTCATTTTAAGTAGTGTCGACATCTTGATTATTCCATTATTTTCTCTTCAAGTTACATGTGCTATCCATTTTAGTTGTTGCTGCTGTTGAAAGTCTGCAAGTGATGTAGTTTCTGTTATTTGGCATAGTTTTTTTTTTTGTGTATATGTTACGCCAGTTCACAATGATCAAAGAGAGATGATCTTTGCCAAGACCCCCAGGCTTCACTCGTTCAAAGCCTATTTTTTAACCTTTTTTAGGGTACAAATATACAAAGCTCAATATAACCATCATGACATCCATTCTGATAAAAGTATACAACACATTATTATTATTATTATTAGTATTATTATTATTGTTATTTTTTCAGGTTCACCCTGTACAAGGCCCTGGGGCCACTCGAGGTAGAGGGTTACGTTAGGAGGCAATTTATACAGGTAGGAGAGGATGGTAACGGTTAACCTTACACTTTAACAGGTTAAGATTGTAGTGATCGGGGAAACATCCTCTTGGGAGTCGCTTTCACGGAGCAGTGGTTCGCGGGAAGAAGCTGTTTGAGTGGAATTTACTTCTCAGGGATGGAATTATTATTATTATTGTCTCTTAGTTATCACGTTCGTTACGTCCTGCCAATGCCTCATAAAGAATTGGACTATTTCGTTTTAAACGCGAGAAAAGACGAAAAAGTCATAGCAGAGACACAGTTTGGTTTCGCTGAGAAAAAAGAAAAAAAGAACAAGACGATAGAGGGGATGATAACGCTCTCATGTGTTTAATGTCTGCTTCAGTAAAATAGCAAAGACTGTCAATTTCAAATCTTTTCATTTGTACCCTCTTGAAAATAAGGACCAGCATTCATACTTATAATTGCTATTGCAATATTTTGTTAAGGTTATTATGCTCAAATATTTAACGATGCAATAAAGAAATTTCCACGGGTATTAGAAAATTAAAATAACAAAAATGTGTACTTTTCATAGGTAAAGAAGTAATAGTTCTTTTTCTTCATATTATTATTATTATTATTATTAAGAGAGTTGCACATTAAAAAAAGTAAATCTGCAGTACATATATACGAAACTCACTGTACTCATCACAACACCCTATTTGAAAATGCTATACCAAGCATTTGGGTCACAACCAAATGTAGACTATATGGTGTCAGGTTTTGATAAGCAGTGCGTAACCTTGAAGATGGGGCTCATTTAGAAACACCTTCAAGTCAAGTAGCGCCGTTCAGACGGTCTCCAATTGAGGGTGTTCCCAGGTATCTAGATGTGGCTCCCAAATCGCCTTGGCTGACTCATCCTCCAAAGTTAAAAAAATAACAAACCCCAAAACCTCTCAACAGCCGGCAATGATGCACCCCATGACTTCTGTTCGTGATCAGACATGTATATTGTGTCTATATGCAGACTATAGGGTTATGGTCAAGAAACTGACAAGCAAATCTGCGGCACTGAAAGGGATATTTACTGTAGCCAATCTTAATTCAACATGACAAAACATGTTCCTGATAATACATCCAATCCAATCAATTACGATCAAAAGCCATGAGAGTCATGCCTGCTGTAGATTCAGGACATTTATTATTATTATTATTATTATTATTATTATTATTATTATTGAACTAAAAATTAGCGTTTCTGCTGAGGGTCAGTGCAGTATCTTTGGGCTCGCCACAGGATCAATGTTCTGTTTCCTGGTCTAGATCCTTTTATTTTGATAGTTTTTTGGAAGATCTTCAAAGATATCTAATTATTATTATTATTATTATTATTATTATTATTATTATTATTTGTAGTAGTAGTAGTATTAAAAAGAAGTAGTAGTTCCTTTTCTTCGTATTATAATTTTTATTTCCTTTGATTTCTGGTGTGTACACATTTCTTTCGGGGTCCCGCCCAGAGACCTAAGGTTAGAAATGGCATCATGACATTTTCAACTGACAAAAAAAAAAAAAAAAAAAAATTACATGGATAAATCCCTTCGTAAGGTGTGGGCTGTATTCGTCAGAACATTTTTTTTTGTATTTCTTTAAGGCATGGGCTCCAGGAATCCCTTCAATGAGTCTACTGGGATCTTTTCCAAACAATCCGAGGACTCCAACTACAACAGGGATCGTTGATGCTCCATGTGCCACATCTTTATTATTATTATTATTATTATTATTATTATTATTATTATTATTATTATTAAGAGAGCTTCACACGAAAAAAGTAAACCTGCGGCACATATGTTGCTATTTTACGTTATTTTAGTGGGTAGACGTGTTTGAGTAAAGATACCTTTTTCTTTCCAAACTGTAAAATTAACGTCTCCTGAAGATTATCCTCGATCTTGACGACCAAGTTTGGTCAGGATTAATTTCTGCAAACCGTAGCTGAAAAAAATCTAAGCAACTCACCCAGGAATTACCAGAAGAATTAAATACAAGTCACACTAAAAAAAAAAAAAATCATGGAGTTGGAAAAGTGTTTCAACTTGGTTAATGCGTCCTTCATCATTTGACTCCTTCTCAGCGTGATCAAAGAACTGATCTATACACGTCATTGAAGGCTAGACTTTGCTAACGAACCTTTCCTGAGTAGGATCATCATCAATGATAAAAGAGGGTCCTCTATAATATTATCTACATCGCTTAATAGTAAATGTCTTTTGCTATTACATGATATTGACAATGATCAGCAATCAATGAAAAAATAGTGTCTGTGCCCAAACCAGGACAACACACCCGAAATATATTATTCTCTCCATCCTCGATAGATTTCAAAAAGCGTGGGTGACGAATTATTTCCCACCCATCAACCTCTCTCTCTCACAGCCGGGTAGTGGCAAGCCTCTCGCTGCTCTATCCCTACTTTTACGGAAAGTGTTCGGACGAACTACATTTCTTGGTTCAGCCAATTCTAACTTTCACGGCAAGGATCTGACATGCCATTCACATTGTAGCAAACCAACATTCCCCCCGTATTCCATTGGTGAGAAGTAAGTTCCATTCGAACAGCTATTTCCCGCAAACAACTACTCTGTGGAACCGACTCCCAAGTAGGACGTCTTCCAGATCACTGCGATCATAAGCAGTTCAAGTCTAGGGTTATCTTCCCCTCTTATACGTACAAACTAACGTAACCCTCTAACACG